GTGCGGCTGCCCCTCCCCTTCCCTGCGCCGAAGACGGCCTTTTAAGCCTTCTGCTTCGGCCCTTTGTTGAATCCTTTTGTTCCATCTCCTTGATTGTGGGTTTAGGACCCCAGCTATGTCATCTGCCTCATCAGCAGCTGAGTCTTGCCTTTGTCCTGCTGGCTGAGGCTGCACTTCCACAGGGAGAGCTGGCTGAGGCTCTTCAGCAGGAACAGCTGGCTGAGGCTGCTCTGCAACAGGGATTACTGCAGGCTGTTCCTGTCTGGAAGACTTGTCTGGGTCCTTTGTTCAGCCTCCCCATCCCTGAATTCAAGTTGACAGTCATACATGTTAGTCAAGATGCATTTTTTTAATTTGTTTTTTCTTTTGGATCTTGAGCATGTCAAAGGAGAACAGAGATTCTGGAGACAATCAAAAAGAAGCAGACAGTCAAGAAATAAGCCAAAGGATGCAATATAAGTCAGAGGTCAGAAACAGATGATTGGGATGGGAGGGTATAGTTTTTAACGTATCCAGTTGGCACAGATAAGAGAATGGACATAAGCAGCCAGATCACAGATAGAGAACTGAAATATGTAACTTACTATCCACTCACTTTTAAAATAGCATGAAAGGTGGGAGTTGTTTAGTGTGTGTGTGTGTGGGGGGGAATCCAGGAATCAGCTTGACTCATGTAACCTTGATAAAAAGTGATGCAGAGTCCATGTGTACAACAGCTAGCAATTTTGATGAAAAAATAAAGATGCCAAAGGCTAAAGAAACAAATTAAAGCTTTATTGTAAAACTTCCATGAAAAAGCTCCCTAAGCATGCTGGGTTAACATCGAACTAAGCTAGTTTTACTTTTGGTAGAAGTGAGAGAATAAAGGGTTGAGAAAAGAAAGGTTTCAGTAGACATCTCAGAGAGGTTAGGACAGATGGATAAGAGATGTGGAAGTTTGCATCACTGGAAACTACTTAAACGTTATCATGGATGCTCTTTCTAATACAGTTTTAATTTTTTTAAGTGCTGAGAGTTGTTCCATTTCTAGCAACAACATAAAGCTAATCAAAATTGGGAAGAATTTTTTTTCTAAGAGGCAGGGATAAATAAAGCAACAAGTCCATCCTCTTTTGGTTTTGGCACATTTTTGACAAGGGGCCTAAGCAGACGGGCGGCTGTGGGCTGCCCTGGGAAGGTGTGCCGTGGGACCGAGGCATCCCCATGCCTCGATCCAACGGTGCACCATCGGCGCCCCTGGAAAGGAGCGCTAAAATAGCGCTCCTTTCATATGTTGCCAAAAGTGCGCCACAAAATGTTGCGGTGCATTTTCGGTGACCCTTCCACCGCAGCGTGTCTGGACGCTGTGGCGGGAGGTTGTCTTCGGAGCGCCGGCTGTGCGGAGGGCCGGCGGCTCTGAGGACGACCTTGGGAGGGGGGATGGGTTGCCGAACGTGCAGCTGCCCCTCCCCTTCCCTGCGCTGAGGACAGCTTTTTAAGTCGTCTGCTGAGGCCCAAAACTTGCACAGTGAAATGACAGAGAAGAAAATATAAGGGCCGACTCAAAAAACTAACAACCAACTGAGGGCCTCGGCAGATGGCTAATAGGGCCGTCTTCGAGACCCGGAAGAGGAGGGGCAGCCGCACGCGCGGCGTCCCTTCCTCTTCCTGAGGTCGCCCTGGAAGCTGCCGGCCCTCCGCACGGCCAGCGCTTCCAGGGCAACCTCCCGCCACAGCGACCACATGCGCTGCGGCAGAAAAGACAGCGAAAGTGCGCCCTACGCATTTAGGGTGCACTTTCGCTGTCTTGAGGAAGGAGCGCTGATTTAGCGCTCCTTCCAGGGACGCCGCAGGAGCGCCACGGTGCGGCTGCCATGGCCCCATGGCGCTCCGGACCAGGGCGTCCTGGACGCCCTGGTCTGCATCCCCCCTGAGTCAGGAAATAATTAAAAACTGTATATATTTTTTAAATAAAGTAAAAAAGATGAATCTTCACCAAATCCACATAGGTTCAACCAAAGAAAAGGACAATCATTTGTTATAAGTACATACACCATATAAATGCAGTAGTAGTTAACACAGAAAGCATAGTCCTATTATACAGGTGGAAGTCAACTGTATAGGCATCAATTTCTACACTAATGGAAAACTTTAACAAATAGTATAAATAAGCCAACAGTTTCAAAAAGCCAGATGCATTTTCATATATCCAGTACTCTTCAGTGATTGAAAATAGATATCATTTGTTTCATAAAGCCTGCTCATTCTTTTCAGAATGAAAAGTCAGAACCGGAAACATTACTTAAAATAGCTAAATACTCATGCTGACAATAAATACAACTGTTAAAATTACTTCATTTCAATCCTCACTGAAACATCACTGTAAAACGCCTCACATAACCACACCTCTCACCTTCACCAGCCAGAGCCTGATACTGAGAGTCTTATCACACCATGATATTAGAGCGTAGCAACACATTAGTTCCATTATTGCCTTAGCCTTATTGCACGATGTTGTTGCTCTTCTGTTGTTCTCCAGTGGGAGATCTTTCCTGCTATGATTTCTCATGAAAAAGTTCAGTTGCTCTTTTACAGCAATTTTGGATGGTCAGTGTGTATGCTTTGGTGGAAAAATGTCAATCTGCCTCCAGGTGAGAAGGAGAAGGGTGGGCATTTCAATCTAATTTCCTTTCAACTATGAAACCCTTCCTTCCAACTAGGGCTTGTCAGGGAAGTCAAAACTTTGCTCATTGTCACCACCCCACACACCCTTCCTCCTTTTCTAATCCTGTTGTGGACTTTTCATCAAATGCTTAAAATCCTCTGCATGGAAAAGTTTGTCAGATTCCAACTCTTTCATACACACACACACAAGCTTGGAGATGCAAGGGGAAAAGGGTCCTACAGGTTTTTTTTAAAAAAATATTTCATTAGTCCTTTCTTTCTTTCTTTTTCTTCTTAACTTCAGATTTACTAATTGCTGATAGATGAAAGCAAGCATTGGGATAGATCAAACAGAGAGATCAGTAGCTGCTGGCTTCATCTGCCAGAGATTAGCCGTTAGCTAAGTATGAAGTCAACTGAAGTTAACTAGAGGTCTGATCAGGAACCTCCTTCCCTTCACATACATGGGGGGGGGGGGGGAAGAAGAGCTTTAAAATAAGAGTGTTTCCATAAATGTGAAATACCTTATATTTTTATTTTATCTTTATATATTTTTGTGGGGAGGCGTGTATGTGCGCGTGCGTGTATGCAAAAGAGAGTGTCTACCAAACTAGAGCAGGGATATCATTGATGAAGTAGAGGATGGGCAGTCCCAAATGCTACATGCAATTAAATTTTAGTACACATGGACACTGTAATCCTGGAATGATTCTGAAGATGTGAGAGCAAAGAGAGCAATCCCACTTGAATAGTGTTTATAAAAACACAATATTGTAGTGTGATAAGACCCTGAAACTAAAACCTTCTGTTTATATAGTCCCTTGACATGAATGTCTACTTGTAACCAATTGTAGGGGGAGGTGCTCATCTCTGTTAGTAAGCTGAAGAGCCAACGTTGTCCAAGGACTGCTCTGGTGGTTATGTGGCCAGCATGACTGCACCAAATGCTGTTACCTTCCCACTGAAGTGACACCTATCTATCTACTTGCATTTGCATGCTTTCGAACTGCTAGGTTGGCAGAAGCTGGAACTAGCGACAGGAGCTCACCCCATCATGCAGCACCCAAATTAACACATCCCTAATTAATAGCATTAATAGCAAAATACACTTTCTTTTATGGGAATAAATACATTTCTTCAAAAATCATATACGTACATTCTGAACATTAATAGGAAAACATAAATACACTTAATTGCAAACTATGGTCATAAAAATAATTAATGTAAGACAATTATTTATAAAATACTAATATAAAAGAAAGGCAGAAAGCATACCATAGAGAGAAACAGAACCAAAATGCTGTGATCCAATCAGTGCTTTCATATAATCCATTGGGGGTTAGGGTATTCTCCATAGATAGCTGGTTGAATCTATGTGGATTTGCTAAAAAAATTATTAAACTGTATTAATTAAAATGTTTATTTACTTATTTCTGACATTTAACATGATGTCATTATTGTCTCAGGTGGTAGAGGAAAGGTGTTTTGTTTTGTTTTAAAGCATGATTCAGGAAATCATAGGTATTGTCTTTTCTGGTTCCAAAAGACTACCCATTATCAGGATTTAGTATTTGTAATGCTTTGTCAGTATTTACAGTGTATTTGTCAGTTCTTGCAACAACTTTCTTGAACTTATCTTGTTTTGTCTTCACTTTGTCTCTACTTTTCTAAATAAATGCACTTAAAATCAAATGAAAGAATATGTGTACATTAGGCTTTCTCAGGAGGTGCTCTGAAAATAATGGAAGGTGATCAGGAGTGGCTGTACACCATTTCAATTAATTTAAAACAACTGTTGAACATTTCTCACATCCAAGCTGCTGGTGTCTTCTAAACTATCTTGGCTCTACTGAATCCTTTGAATTATAGTTATTAAAACAATTAGACTACACCTTCCTGTATATCAGGCAATGTAGCTTAGAAAGGCTGCAAAAGGCAAAACAATATAAAAACAGCAACGTGTTTTTATATAAGTCAAAAAACCAGTCTTGGAACCCAAAAGCAATTCTGAAAGCATCCAAAATCCATTCCTGTGCATATACATCATAAGCAGGATATTTAAATAAATCCAGTTAATATCTTCTCAGAAATAAGAAGGATAGGGTTATTAAAAAAATAAGCATGGGCCAAACGTTGTTGTTGTTGTGTGTCTTCAAGTTGTTTCTGACTTATGGAGACCCCAAGGTGAACCTGTCATGGAGTTTTCTTGGCAAGATTTGTTCAGAGGAGGCTTGCCATTGCCTTCACCTGAGGGTGACAGCATGTAACTTGCCTAAGGTCACCAAATGGGTTTCATGGCTGAGCTGGGACTCGAACCCTGGTCTCAGAGTCATAAGCCAGCACACACACCACTATTCCACACTGGCTCTCCTACTAAAAGCAATCTAAGGGTGCATCTACACTGTAGAAATAATGCCTTTGACACCATTTGAAGTGCTGTAGCTCAATCCTATGGAATCCTGGGCTTTGTAGTTTTATAAGGCCTTTAGCCTCCCTTGCCAAAGAGTGCTGGTGCCTCACAAAACTACAAATCCCATGATTCTGTAGGATTGAACCATGGCAGTTAAAGTGGTGTCAAATTGCATTATTTCTACAGTTTAGATGCACCCTAGGTCTACCCCAATGGAGGTAGTTGTTATAATAATAATAAAAAGATGACAATCATATCTACAGAGAAATATGGCACCATCTCTCGGGAGCTACAGTCTCCTGTTTACCACCCAGCACTTAGAAGGAAACTGAATCGAGTGGCTAAGATCATGAATGAACCATCATTTATGTGCCTGGATGAGCCTAGAGTTAGGCCATGGAAAGGCTCCCCAAATTAATATAGGTCAGAACAGGCAAAACCATATCTGAGTCTTCCTTGTCTAAGAAAACTCTATGAAATTTATAGGATCGCCATAAGTCAACAAGCGATTTGAAGGCACACATCCCGTCCCTTTGAGGTCAATCGGGGTGGCAATATGGGATTGAGGGGCTGCTGCAAGGTGCACCCAAGCTGGTACAAGTCTCAAAGGTCATGACAAGAATCCCCCAAACCAATACAGTTTTGAAGGCCAGATCCAGACATACAAAATAAATCAGTATAGAGGACTGAGAGCTTACTGAAATGCCACCCAGCTAACACAGGAGGATGAAGCACATTTTTAGCATTGTCAAAAGCAACAACAGAAGTAGGGATGTATTTATATGTGTGCGTGGGCAGGTGGGTGCCTTCAAGTCACTGTCAATCTATGGCAGTCTCCATGAATTTCATAGGCTACAGTATCTGGTATTCCTTGGTGGCCCACCATCCAAGTACCTACCAGGCTTGAATCTGCTTAGCTATCTTGATCATTCAGGATCTTGTGTCTTAAGAGTGTTTAGATGTAACTCAGGGGTATCTTCTCCCAGTTTTATCATGTCTTTTACATTTAGGACTTCTAGTCACGATACTTAGAAACAATAACTTTATGAACAATATATATATATTTTTTAAAAAAATAAACAGTTGTTTGAAGGTACTCCAAAATGTGACACAACATGAAGAAATGGGGAAAGTGCATACATCTTTTTTATTCTGACAAAATTATCAGCAATGAAGAGAATCCTGTTTTTTTTTAAAAAATTAGGAGTTTATTACATGCACTTTTCAGCCCAATCCATGCATAAAATGGGATCGGTTTGGAACAGGGGGAAACAGGTTTTACCGCACATGGAATTGCTGCTGCCCTGCCGGCTGACCATCACTCATCCCCGATCTGGCCTCTGCCAGCTGATTTTGGTAGTACGGAAACGTAGTACCAAAATCGGCCGGCAGAGGCTTGACTGGGGACAGGTGATGGTCATCCAGCGGCACAGCAGCAATTTCATGTGCAGTAAAACCCGTTTCCCCCAGTTCCAGTCCAATCCCATCCTGTGCATGGATCAGGATGAAAAGTGCATGTGATAAACTTCTTAGATTGATCTGATAAAAACTGAAGAGAAATTAAGGAGTTGCAAACAAATTTTTCTATGCTCATTTGGAAAATTAAAAATGAGAAGAAGAAACAATGGGAAAATAAATGGAGAACAGTAAATCTTAAAGGAGAATGTTAAGTACTATCCTTTTTAAAAAAAATCTTTTATTTGCATATTGTGCAGTTGCTATGTTACCAAGATAATGAAAAATCAAAGTAAAAAACAAACAAACCAGAAGCAATGTGAATAATTGTGCTAGATAGAAAAATTGCAAAAAAAACCTGAATCAGTGCCAGCATAAAAAAAAGATAGAAAAATAAAAAGATCTTCCAGATGCTGTGGATCAATTCTACAATCCTTCTCCTTTAGCCATGGTCTTGTACATCAAGAGAGCCAACGGCTCCCAAGCTCTGCTCTACATCATAGGGGGCAACCTCTGGCCTGCAGCCAGAGAGTTATCATACCCATAGTTTCACAACCTTACTAGACAGAGTCTTTCCACCCTTTACTGTATCTAGTTGCTTCGTTTTCCCATCTGATTGGGAGAATAAGGTAATTGGGAGGGTGTGTGTGAGTAGATGGAAGGATAGGGAAGGGTGCTGCATTCCATCTATCTGCTTTCCCAGTAATATTACCTAAGAAGCCAGTTCTTATTCCATTAGACCAAGCTTGCAAACTTTATTATTTAAAGTACAACTCCCATAATTCCCTACCAAGCATAGTCACTGCATAGGATCCTGGGGGTTATGGGGGGCATTTAGAATTCTGGTTTAAGCATACAAATATTACTGTGGACATGGACTCCTGTTATGATCTGAAATGGAAACTTGGCAGGGCTTGAGAGGGAACTTGTTCCTAACTATTGCAGACAAGTGTCCACTCTACATTGTAGTCAATACTTCTCCTGCCCTCCAAAAGCATTGTTAGTGTTCTCAAAGCTTTGGCAAACATATGTGTGTGGTCTTTCTATTGAAACCTATGAATTACAAATGGGATCACTGGTCATCCATACAGTGTCTAGCAGTGGAATAAAGCAAACTTTGCCACATCCTAGAAATTTATAATGAAATTGGGAGGCCTCTGACGATATTCCCTCATTCCTCATGTCGCTGATTGTTTTAGTCTTAAAAGCTTCTCACAGGGCTGCTGTTACCCTGTCCAGGCTTTAAAGACAGTCATCTTGGGACAAACAGTAATAGGACTTTATCACACAGGGAAAATCCTGTGCAGAAATGGGACTTAAAAGCTGGGGTAAACCCTCAAAAGCGGGTTGATTTTCACACACATCACTGTTAAACTGTTGTTAACCCGAATGGATAGTAGTCAAAAGCCGCTCCTTTTTACTTTTGGGATTTTCCGAAAGTAAAAAGAAGCAGCTTTTGACTACTTTCTGTTTGGGTTAACAACAGTTTAACAATGGTGTCGTGTGATAATCAACCTGCTTTTGTGGGTTTTTCTGATTTAAAACCCCGTTTCTGCATGGGATTTCCC